GCAGGTGTTGGCTCTGAATCTTGCCCAGATGTTGGTGGTTCTGGTTCAGGCTCTGGTGCAGGTGTTGGCTCTGAATCTTGCCCAGATGTTGGTGATTCCGGCTCTGGTGCAGGTGTAGAGTTGGGTTCAGGTGTTTTGTCTATGTCCTGTTTCGTTTGCGGCTCAGTCGTCATTTCAGGCTCCTCTCTCTGTCCACCTTCCCCACAGTTGCACGGTTTGAGTAGAATTATGTTTTTAATGAGTTCTGCACTGGGGAAGCTCACACTTAAGATCCCTAAGCAACCTTGGTTCACTGACTTTTTCTTATGTTCCACAACAAAGTTATTAAGCTTCTTGTTAACTGTTTTAGCCAATGTTTTAGGACTTTGATGAAATGATGCTGCAGTGTCAGTCAGCACAATGTGATGGTTACAGAGGTGTGACTTGAATTGCTTTATTTTTTCTTCAACATTGATTAGCTTGTCATATTTGATGAAAAATGATTTTTGGTTTGCTGTTCCTTGATGGAAGCTGTTACTCCGGAGAAAAACAATTTTGCCCCTTGCCTGTTTCATGTTTGGTGCTGATAAATTAGTCCATATTTTGTATTTGAACTTTTTAATCAGTTTATCCATCATTTTTAAGACCTTCTCCTCAAAAAACCCATGTATTGTCATTTTCAAAAGCACAGTCTCACTCTTGTTCCTCTCTAAGAAATTAAAAATGATCTTCAGGACTTTATCAAATTCAGTATGTTGCCAAAACATCCAGTGACTATCCCGGATATAAATATGGTTTTGGACAGATAGCCAAATCCCAGCATGCACGTCAAAATACCGTATTCCCACATTAAGTTGCTTGTCCAAATCCCAAACTTGACAGACGGCAAGTGGTCCTCCGTATAATGATAAGCTTTCATGTGTTCCAGGAATGGAGATAGCAGATACTGGAGTCTCATCAGGGATGGATTTCATCCAGTTCAGGTTATAATCTTGTTGATTTAGGGTTGAATGATCATTGAAACCTGTCCCTGAACCCGAACAGGAGGTTATTCTGGGTGGGGAAGACAGGATACTTGCTAATTTTAATATTTCTTTGGAAATTTCAACATAAAATTCATTATTTAACAACAAGCTAATAAAAATCACTTAGTTTAAGTGTTAAAGCATATTCTTATATGCAGAGTAGTGAGATATGGTGAGAATAAGTAGAAAACACAATACAATTATCAATATTAAACTTACAGAGACAGAAGCCAGAGGTAATGATGGATCCCCATGATTGGTTTGTTGGTTAATCGCCGGTGAGATCAGTCAGGATTTGTTTGGTTCTTTTTCCCAGATGTTTACATTTTTGTCTCCACTGTCAATTTGTAAAACACTTCACAAGCCTTGAAAAGCAACCGTTGACATGACTGTGACAAATAGGCAATTGTCTCCGTTGGAGCGAGCTGCTCCAGTGTGCATAAAGATAAACTTTTAATTTGCATGTTTCTACTCTCTAATCTTTTATTTGAAATGGGAGGTAGAGAGAGAAAAAGAGACAATGAAATGTGGGCATCGTAAAAGTGAACATGATGACATCGTACAGTTAGGAAAATGTGGCTTCAGAGGAGATACAACTACAGGTATTCTTTACTCACTGTGTGTAGCATTCATCCAGGACCTAAACTAAATTATTAGAAGATTTTTGAGCACATATTTGCAAGAAATATCATAGTATCCATACAGGAAACTATGGCCAAAAGTATGAGACACTATTGTCCACATACTTTTGATTTGGGGCTATTTTTAATGGTTTGCCCCTCAGTTTCAACAGTATTCACAGAGTTTAGATGAGTAGTTTGACGCCACTCATATGTCTCATGCTACGGCACCCTCACGTAATTTGCATGGCCCTCAATCTTTATTATGAATAATGATCATACACAGAGTTTGTCTGACACTGAAACACAATCCACACACTACAGACAATTCAACCCATTTGACATCCCATAAGGGACGTGTGTGCAGATACTCTCTGGACCAGCTAGAGTAACTTAAGAGCTGTTATCAAAATGTCAGGTCAGTACCGAAGCCTGAATACAGTTTACATTTACAGTATTTACTGGAAGCCACTCCTACCTCAGTGGTTCCCAACCTTTTTCCTAACTCCTTTTCTAACATTAAACTGATGACCCTTGATTAAGTTATTTTATATTTAATAGATCATGAAATATACATAAAATAAAATAAATAAAAATAGATTATTTTCAACAATAACAATAACTGTAGAGAACAGCTTATAAACTGTACAATGAACCCAGTGAACATAATAACTGAAGGAAGTTTGTGTAAAACCAGAGATTTGGATGAATTTTGAGCAGATTATTATTTCCTGATACAATTATTGTCTGTATTATGTATTTTCTTAGATTGTAACATTTAGGCGTACTTAATTTCAATGTTTTCTTCTCATTTTCTCTTTGGTTGTGTCAACTTATCTAATGCAGGATGAGACTGTGATTTTAACTTGTGTGTTTAAGATTATTATTATTAGATTGCTTCTAACAGACCAACTTTGAGGAGAAAATATTCACTTGCTTCACATCCCACTCACTGACAGCTGCCAAGATACCAAGATAATCGGTGTTATTCACTTCACCTGTCAGTGCTCACAATGTTATGGCTGATTGGTGTATGGGTGCAATGTTAAGTTGTCCACATACTTTTCAGGTTACCTCATACGTTCAGTGATGTGGTGTTTTAATAAAGCCTAAAAGCATTGCCTCAGGGGGCTTCACAATCTGTACAGCCTCTGTCCTCAGACCCTATGACGTTATTTAGTTTCTTAGGCTTTTTTTTCTTGTTTGCATCTTACTGTAATGATCATCAACAGACATATAAAGCATAGTTTTGCTGTCTTTTTCTAGAAATTGAACACATACTCTCTATATATTGCAGTTTACCTTCTGTGATTGGTTGTGCTGTGCTGTTGTGTCATCCTCATCCTGGCCAATAAGCTTGCGTCTGGCCTTTTGCTGATCCTCTTCCTGGCCACCTGTTGCATCTTAGTGCGACAGGTTATCTGCAGAAGCATGATCAGATAAGACTTAACATGGACAGTTTGTTACCCAGTGGGAAATTCACCACAGGAACAATAAGATAATGCCTTTTAAATGACAAGAGTGCTTTTGATCCGCCAAGGGGCTCAACTGCTTCTAACGCCTAACTTTCTGCACCAGCTTTTGCCAAGGAGTTAATCCCTTCTTTGTCTTTTGCAAGATGTCTGTGAGAACTCTGCCCCTGGTTTTCATTAATCTTGGTGGAGAGATGCTTTACATACTGGACCAACGCCTGCGAGCTCACAACACGTCTGAGGACAATTCAGAGAAAGGTAGAGGTAGCTAGAGAACTGACAGGTTTGCTTATCCCCGAGTCTTTCCTCCTCCTGTCAAAACTGTACCTGTCAGATGTCAGATTATAAACTCAACATGTGCATCTCATGTTTCTCATACACAATACCTCAAATGACAAGGCTATGTCCTTTCTTTTCTTTCTTGGAAAACCGCACTCGGATGCAGGGGTGTGGTCAGGGAATGACAGAAAAAGAGGTATCCACGCCATACTGCAGCATATTATTGTTTAATCTGCTCCCTCTGCCCCCGTAGTGTCCTCACAGTGTTAGCTGTAATGTTAATTACTGTAAACTGAAGTCCCTTTGTGAGATACAGTAGTAGTCTACATGGCCAAAACACAGGTATCTACATATTTGACTTTTTGGCATTTGTTTTATCACATAAAAAAATATTATACTAGCTAAAAATAAAACCAAATTTGCTGACTGATTCTACTTTAATCGTAATATTGTCCAAAAAAAAATAACAACTTTGATGAACTAACATGTTGGTAATTCTGTGTTTTGGTCCACATAAATGAATAATAAAATTTTGATTAAACGAGCCTAGAAGTTTTTGCTAACAGTCATTAGCTTAGCAGAATAGCCGTAACTGACTCTAGTGGAATTCATGTGATTTGGTGGGATTAAGCTACATTTAAATCATATATTTAAACATTAAATTGTAGTGTTAGATTAATTTATTATTGATTTCCACATAATGCAAAATGCGATCTTATGTAGGTTTGTAATCAACCTAAAAATGCATAAAGAAAGGCATAACAACCTATTTGAAATGCATTTTTCCTTTCAGACTGAAAACTTTAGCCATTTTCTAACCCTTTTCATTGCTTCTGTACTCTTCTCTGCTGTTAGCTATCAACCTGCTATAGAAACAACGCAAACTGCATTAATACCAAATACTTCTTTGCAGGATTAACCATATTTTCTGTTTTCATAGTTCTGAACGACATCGTTGGGACCATGTTCAGTAAACCCTTTATGGACGAACTCCTCAAACCTCAGCAGCTGTATTCTCACAGGACCCTGAAAACCGTGCTAACTCGATTAGCGCACGCCTCCATCATGAGGCTGAACCCGGCCAGCATGGACAGGGTGCGTACAAGATGAATGAAAGAGATGCTTTCAAAGCACCAGCGTGTACGATTCAGTGGCATCTAACAGTGAAGTACCTGTTCCCATGTCTTATTTCTATCGTCTATTGTATTATAACGTAAATATTTAAGACTCTTATTATATTGTCTATTTTTTCTATATGTTTTGTATTTATTGTGGTATAATGCATATTTTTAACATTCTATTAAACTATAACACATCAAATTTCCTCCCAGCAATCAATAAAGTATTTCTGATTCTGATTTACGTATTTCGACAAGGCCTGTTTGGCTCAGACTACATTTTTTCTGTTTCATATTACCAGGTCAAAATCTTGAGGTTTGAAATTGTTTAAAGTCTTAAAAGGAGTCAACCCTTTTTTGTGTGTTTTAAAGGAGCAGTGTGTAGGATTCAGTGGTTTCTAGTGATTAATTAAATACAGCTCAGCCTTCGAAGCGAGTGAGAAACTATAGTGGACGCAAAACTCGTAAAAAACACGTAAGGCCTGAATCTAGAACCAGTGTTTGGTTTGTCTGTTCTGGGCTACCGTAGAAACATGAGCTGTTTTTACCTCTATATTTAAAAAACAGATTCTTAGGTAACAGAAACACAATAATTGATGTTTACAGGTGATTATACACAAATAAAAACAGACTTCTTAATGTTCTGCCAGTCATCATGAGTTATTATGGAATAACAGTCTGTGACAGGTGGTGAAGGGAAAATTGTTAGTTAGGGAGCACAAAGTATTTTTATTTGATTGCAGGGGCGTTCACATCACTCATTCTTTTTTTTTTTTCTCCTGTAGCTTTACGAGCTGATGATCATGGCGTTCAAATATCAGGTCTTTCTTTGCCCACGGCCAAAAGATTTGCTGCTCATCTCTTACAATCACATAGATGCCATCAGGGAACTTGTAAAAGACACTCCCGCAGTCGTGAACCAAGTGGACGAGACGCATAGGAAGATCATCGAGGTATGCCGAGAGCTAAATCCTTTACTGACACACACCTCGAGGGTAAAACAGCCCTTCTTCTTCTTCCAGCTGTCAGCCTGTTTTTCTTGTTGTAGGTTTACTCATCTTTATCAGAAGGCGAAATCCAGCTGCTCAGACAAACGCTGCTCATATTTTTTCAAGACATGCATGTTCGCGTGAGTCCTTTTAGTTATACTCATCCCTACATTCAAGTGAGATCAATATATAACAGCTTATTTTTCCCCCAATTAGCATTTTGTTTCTTTACGTCTTCCTCTTAGGTGTCACTTTTCCTCAAAAGTCAAGTTCAGAATCCCAACGGACGCTTTGCCCTGTCGACTTCAGGCCCAGTGCCTCATGGGATTGATGTTCCAGGACTTATTAGGTATGCAGCAGCAATGAGGCACCGAATGTGTTCTGTAAAATCTGTAAAACTACCAGATATTGGGCTCATCCAAAACTAGCAGCTAGCATTTAGCAGCTATTCCACTAGCATTTTGTGACAAATATTAGGTGGTTTGCCATTATATTTTGTCGCAGACGAGGTCCCCAGAGGATGATTGAATCCTAAAGACACCAAGAAGTCAAAGTATTTAATTAACTGGTGAAATATTGTTAAATGTTGGAAACACAGAACACGTAGCCTACCTTTAATCTTAAATACACATCTGTGTTTAATATCTACGTGCTATACATAATGTTATTATAATGTGTATAAAGACACCTGTATAATTTATTTATATATTATATTTAATTCAAGAGCTGCTGAAAGTCACTGGTTAACACGGTCACTCATTAAACCGTAACACCAGTAGTGAAGTCGTGTCCTTTTCCTCACTAAAGTCGGAAGAAACCTTTAAATTAGGCTTTGAATATCTAATATGAGTGAAGATTTAGCAACTGGATTGCTTATTTCTCGCCTAAAAGTTGTTCAGAAACAGATTTTGGTGGACTGCTAAGGTCAAATAAGTTAAAGTTTAATCAGCTTACTCCATTACAGAACTAATACCATTTGTCCAGTACTTTAGTTTGGCAAGTATTTGGTTATAATCCGATGTGATAGACTTAAAATGCTGAGCTGATGGTGTCAGAGGAACATGAATGTTTGATCAAACTTTAATGGCAATCCATCTAATAGCTGTTTGAAACTTTTCCAACCTCAAGGGGGGCGCTAGAGGGTCGTAAAGGGGGTCACCAAAGTCATTAGGATTTATCATCTGGGGGTCATGAATGTCTGCAACAAATTTAATGCCAATCCATCCAGTAGATGTTGAATGTGAATTGAAAACTAACTAATTGCCAATTAGCCAACGTTAGCTTGTCATCACTGTCATTGTGAGCTTATTAGCATGCTAATGAGATATTTGTTACTATAAAGTTAGCTTTAACGTTCAATAATATGTTTCAGCTTCTCAAAAAGAAAAGCAATTAAATAAATTCCTATTTAAGAGGTTTTTTTTACAGTAGTTAACAGAGGCTAGCTACGTTAATTGTCTAAAGTTACAGCACCTTTACAATACAGCTAGAAAGATAATTTAGGTGCTTTTTACTTGGAAAATAGATGATTAAAGTTAAAAAAAATATATGTTCTTTTTCATTTTAGGAGCTAGAAACTCACCAATACGCCTATAATTCACTCGGGGAAACTGGGATTTTACTGTTTCACAACTAAATGTCGACCTCACCTTTACACACTAATTCAACACTAGACCTCCATTAGTGGCACCGGATATAAATCATGCAATTGCAAAGTCTCCGCTGACCAACACATTCGAAAGAATCTTAAATTTTAGTCACAGATTTCTTCTCGACCGCTTCTTAGAAAAACATCTCAGCGTTTCCAGAGTGTCATCATCTGCTTCCTGTTTCAACAGGACGTTTAACAGTAAGGGCAGAGAAGTGAGACGAAGTGAGTTTCCCACAGGGGGAAGTTACACCAGCCCCATCAGGGAGGGATCCTTTGAGCTGCATGGAGACAGAGTCATCAGACTGGGCATGAACATGTATGAACCGTATGCTACTAAATCACATATACTGTAAGTGATATGGGTAACATATAGGTGGATTAGAGGCTGACGCTGCTGTGTTTCATGATTAAAAAAGGTACACTGTGAACCATCCAGAGGAGACACACACATCCAAGGCTCTCTCCGTCAAGGTAATCTTATTGTATAGGTAGTCTGATATGAAGGGTTTAGACTTAGTGGGCTCATTTAAACTAAGACCTCTCTCTGGGAAGTCATAAAACTCAAAAGTACAAATGTGCCTGATTGTATTTTTGCGCATTAAAATGAACATTTTACAGCATATTAGTTCTGTTTTAAGAATATATGCCTATTGAATGTCCATAATAAGTGTCTTTTAATACAGCCTCTCAAAATATAACAAAATATTGAAGTTCAGAAGTCAACCAACAGCAGAATTTTAGATTGACCTGCAAAATATCGCAGCAAAAGAAGTATTCAGATCCTCAATTAAAGGACTAGTGTGTAGGATTCAGTTGTACAGCTCAGTATAGCCACTATGTGGTTTGTCTCCTTAAGGTATAAAAACACAGATTCCTAATTTCAGGTGATATACACTAATAAACTACTATGAATATTATATTCTATTTCTGACCACAGATCTCCCAAAGGTTACACACTGACCTTTAAATAAAAGTTATGTCAGTGTATCGCAACATTAATAAAGAGTGAAAGTTACTGCATTATGCAGTAAATGTTCCCTGTCAGTGTTTTACTGTATAATTATATAATGTTTTATTAATTTTACTGCTCTAAATGGTTTAAAGTTGAGCTCATTTTAACGCCTTTATAAACTGCTGGGTAGTTTAATCTACAGCAATGCGTCATATTCTGTAAGATCAACATATGTTTGTAGTGTCGCTGATCTCTTAAGTCAGAAAAACAGCTTTGTTTTTAACTTTGTGACGACGCATTTTCCAGATAATCCAAGAGGGGTTGTTAAAATAGTTTATTCAGCTCAATAAGTGTAGTAAAGGAACACTTTATCCTTCAGTTTATCACAAACATCCACAATCACCACATTTGGAGATTAAGATGTAAATAAATAAGCTGTCATGGTCACGACCATAACTCAAGTCTTAAAACTGGTACTCCATAGACAAATAGTTAGAGTAAGAGTATATAAAGGTATTAAAAGTAGCTCTACCTACTACATTAAGAAGCCACTTACACATTAACACTAGTAATAATAATCAAATGATATATTTAATAATATAACACACACAGTATCAGAAATGAAGGTACTTATGGCCCCTTTAAATATATTTTTCTGATAATCTTGTGTATTTTTACTTACTTAAATTTATACTAGAGTTATACTAGATAGCTTCAGACCATCTTTCTATCCATGTATAACCCTTCCTGTAACGCCTCCACCATGGTGCAGACAGATGACGCTCCCAACCTGCTGGCCAAAGAGGAGCTCAACCTGTTGGCTCGTCTGATGGGCAGCGTGAAGGCCGAGAACGAGCCCGGAGTGGAAACCGGCTTTCGGATCAGCCTGTTTACCACCGACCAGGAGGAGGAGGAGGCGTGGGTTGCTTTTCTTTTTCTGTACTCACTCTCTGCGATTAATTAGCTGACATTACTTACAAGTATTTTGCTTAACAGGGAAGCTTCAGGTGGAGCTGAGGAGTCCTTGTGCGGAGTGATAAACATTCAAGCGATGCAGGTACAGTATGGACTGACTAGGTAGGATGTAACAAACACCTACAAGAAGATACACACACCTCATTGTATCACACCTCATTCATTAATCTTAAATAAATGTGATATTTGTTAATTCAGGATGAACAGGCTGCTACTGAGCTGGCTCGAATCGCCGGACAGTTTGCAGAACGAGAAGAGGAGTCTGAAAACCCGAAAAGCAGCAAAGGAGACGACCTGCTGGCCATGATGGACGACCTTTGACCCTGTTGTGTAGTTTCAATGAGTTTACTGCCTAACTCTGGTGCTTGCCAGACTCTTTATCTCAGGTAAATAATCACATTATTTGTAATTGTGAGCTTCTGTTTAATCTGTGAAATATGCAGTTGTTTATGTATTCAGTTCTATGCTTTGGTTAACATTAGAGAGTAAGATACATATCTGATTATGCAGTGTTATTAGACAATGAAATGCTTACTGTTTAAGTTTTAAATTACTAGCACGTGGAAAAGAATCACATGTATGGACTATAAATTGTAAGACCTGCAATATTTGATAATGCATTTTATATATAATAATTCTATGTTTTCAATAAAGCATTTATTCATATTGTTTTGTTTGTGTTTTTTTACACAATGTAAGACTAAGGTTCTGATTCAGGAGTCTTGACACTCCAGGAGAGTCTGAATTTATTTGATTTTTCATTTATTGACCAGCTTGCCTTAGGGAGATATAGGCAAATATGGTGCATGTATGCAGAAGATATATTAAAATACATGCTGTGTGGAAATATATTACATGCCACATGTATGATTGTGTTTATTCTTTGTATTATTTATTAATTAATTTAAATGTACATGTTTTTTCCTTAACATTGTAAATGTATTATTATCTATATGATCCCTCTGTTCATCATATCATTGACCATTCATATATTTTATTTTATTTTATCTACCGCAATGGAGAGTATATGCTCTTATTTTGCATTTAAAATATTCAGTTATTGTAAAGATTGATAACATTTAGGAAATAAACACCCTGTAATGTGTGTTATAGTTTTCTGGAGCAGCCTGCAGAGGGCGCTGTTGTTCCGCGATGAACCTGCGTCGAAAAGCGAAACGTCATCACGCTCGACGCTAAGTGAAACGTCATCACGCTCCTCTTCTCCAGGGTTCGGACTTCTTGCGGGAAAAACCAACTTGTTGACATCTTTGAACGGGTTTTATCTGCACCCGCAGCGACTTCTGCGGGGTTTTCACATTAAAAACAAGGGTTTAACTAATGCAGGTAAAGGTAACACACAACAAAACGTTAGAGGAACCGTGTGATATGTGGTTTATAGAGGCTTAATGTCGGGTTGCTGCTCAAGCTAAGTTTGCTAATTCAACTTGAGTCTCTCGTTATAAAACTGTTGTGGCTGATGTGGAGATATTTAAATGAAATTAGCTGCCTTCTTAACAAGCCTATATCATTAACAGTATATATAAGGCCTATACATATATTTCACACCCACATTGACTTTTTTGTAAGCTAGATAAACCTTAATATGTCGTTTTTTTTACTGTTTTACTGATATTTCAGGAGTAAACATGTTGTGAATGTTGCTTTTAATGCCAGTATTTGTTCATACCAGCAGCTGATCATTAGGACAGTGCATCTGTTAAAGAGATGTCAGTTCCTGCCCTTGTGTTTGTGCTTTGAAACCTCCTCTAACATGACCAAAGCTAGTTAACAAACACACCAGAGACCTTATTGATCGGAGTTCTTGCCAGTTTTATTAAATGATTAAGGTTTAGTATTTTAGAGATCTTTAGAGAGTAATATCTCGTCTTCGTCCCCTCCTCAGCTGACACTTTCCTCCCATAATGACTCACTCCTAATTACAGCTTTATTTATTTAATTCAGCTTTATGATGATCAAGTCTCAAATGTTTCTTGCATCACAGAAAAGACATAAATTAGGACAAAAAACAAAGATACATACATTAATCGAAACGTTGAACGTGTGGGCAGATTTATAGAGTTTCTCAGGGGAGTTGGTCGACCGTCTTTGAGCAGGTTTGTGAACTGCATATCTGAAGAAAGACAACACTGTTCACGCTGCAATGAATGTGCACAGTACTGCATGTGCCCGATTAGAGAGATAAAAGTCATTTTCAGCCTTTTCTTAACAATTATCCACATACCTCGTCTCATTTTGTACTTTTAGAATACGTTTTATTTTAAATTGAACAGAACAAGTAGTAATGTTGCAGACAATTATGTGTTCTCTTCACTTTTTCCTCCAATGATCACAAGAACAGAGCAGACCTTTTTCACAGCAGCCAGTTTGACATGAAATAGTAGCGCAAACACGTTCTGGAGAGTCCGGGTGCTGCGGCGCTCTGCTACACTAAACAGAACCTTAATTAGTATCACTGGTAACACCTGTGATTATCCTACTAATACATGTCACAACAGCTGCTGCGAAAAAGGTCTTTTGGTGAATCTAGTTTTCGGTAACGAGGCTCAGTTCACAATGCCAGCAGCATGATAATAGTTCTCTTTATGGACACAGTCTTTTAAAGGACATTACATCATCTTCTGCCCGTCTGCAGGTATCCCTGACCTCCTGACCTCCTGACCTCCTCTTCATCAGTATCCATGGAGTCACAGCAGGGGCCCGAACACCTGCCGTCGGGCCCAACCGAAGTGGTCAACTCCATCCGGGAGCGCACAATCGCGGAGAACAGCATGGTGGTCCTGCTGCAGGGCCTGCAGGGCCAGGTGACCACGGTGGACCTGAAGAACGAGAGCACGGCGCGGGGCCGCGTGGTCAACGTCGACGCCTTCATGAACATACGTCTGGACAACGTGCTGTACCGGGACAGACGGGGTCGGCTCACCCAGCTGCAGGACCTGTTTATCACGGGCAGGAACGTCCGCTACGTTCACATCCCGGACAACGTGGACATAATGAAGACCATACAGAGCCAGCTGGCCAAGATCCACAGAGTCCGCAACTTTGCCAGTCAAGGAGGAGGCAGAAAAGAGTTCGCCACGAAAACAAAATAACTTTTTCTTTCAGGGATCAGTTGGGTTCGGTTTGTGCACGGCTCGTCCAAAAATACTTGAAGGCAACAAGCAATTATTCTGTTTTTTTTTCTCAGATTTGAGGACAAGCGTCCTGCTAGATCAGCAGTGAAAGAGTTGATAGTTTCATCTCTTCAGGCCTCTTAAAATCCTTCAAATATGTCTTTGGTTGAACTGCCTACAAGGCCACGCCCTGTGATGAGGAGTCACAAGTTTACATTCATTTATTTTAAGAGGTTGGCAGTGTAGCCTGACTTATTTTCATTATTTAATTCATCTTTTCTTGATTAATTGATGGATCTTTTTGTCTACAGAATGTCACATTATTGTGTAAAATTACCATTATACTTTCCAGAACCCAGTGATGTCTCCTAATGCCTTGTTATATCTGAATAAAACCCAAATATATAGAGTTTACAGTGATATAAAGTACAGAACAGCAGCAAATAATTTCATTTGTTTGGCATTTTTGCTTGAAAAATGATTAGTTGCCGATTAGTTTTCTGTCAATCGATTAATCAGCTAATTGTTGCAGCTCCACACATTTTTGATGAAGTTCTCTTCTATTTGAGACTGAGCAGGACATTTGACACTTGGAATATGAGTTCTCTCTGGTGAACAAACAATGTAACGCTTTCTAAATGACCTCAAACCTACAGTATCTAACATGTACACCTATAACAATATATCTGTGATAAGCTGATATTGGCCCATTCATCAGTCCAGCTCTTGTTGGTAACCGCTGGACCAGCTACTCAAGGAAGTTGCAATGCTGCGATCAATGCAAATTCCCAGCGAATCCCTGCAGATTTTACTAAACTTCCTTTATTTTCAATTTCCCTTAAATTTTTCATGAATTGTACCAAAAAATGAAAGTTTTAACTTTTCACCAACAGTTTCATTGCAAACAAATGCCTAAAAATATCACAATTACATTATGCATTACATGTGTCACTATTTCTTTTCAAAAGCTGCCATGAAATCATTTTTAGGCCACAACAAAATCCTGGAGGGACTGGCTAAAGAGTTAAACAGTGTCTCTGTGTTTTTGTGATTGTGTTTGAGGTTTGTAATTGACACAAAATAACCGTCCCGAATTTCTTTTGAAATTTTTTTTTTAAAATAAATACAGGAATTACGAATAAAGATGCAATACAATCAACTCATTGTCCACTAACAAACGTGTCTATTCCAGCACATAACCGTTTTTATTCAAATAAAATGTAACATATTACAATTAACAGCGTGTGCAGGTGTGGCCCCGCAGTGTGTTTACTGCAGAATATTCCTGGCATGCACCACAAAGCCCATCTGTCTGTCTGAGAAACCAGAGTTAATAACTGCCCGTATGCAGGAAAAACATTAGTCATGATCAGTGCCAGTCGGGTGGAGGAAAAACAAGCAGCCGTGTTTCCACAGCTTCCACCTCACAAACATCTCCGCTGCATGCATCGGTGAGCTGTCACTCTCTCCCGTGATTGGTGCTGTGACATCCAGCCGGGGCAGGATGGGACAGCCAATGGAAATAAGCGGAGCGGGTGAAAGGAAGAGAGTGTTTCGCTTGGAAACACGTCCCAGTGTTCTCCCGATACACAAATAGGATTGGGAATTTGAGGAATTTGCAATGGGGTATGTTATTCCTACACAGTGTCAGGAAGAGGACAGGCCTGACATAACACAGGCGGAGGCGGCCGGTGCAGATAAACCCCACACACACCGGCTGTATCAAACTGAGTGAAACGCTGCAGTAAATTAAGAGCAATATGCACACAGGAATGTCCCTTGGCGGTTGGATCATTGTTTTGGCTGTGGCTTCTGTGTGTTTTTTAGGGACATATTTTTCTCTTGACTGCTTTAAAAACCAACCTTGAGAGCGTCTGAATGACAGCAGCCCACATAATGACTGCTTACTGCTTCACTAAAAACACGACCGAGTGCCACATCAACACTCACTCACTCAGAATAGCACTTTACAGAGGCTCGACCGCATAAACAATTCTTTTACGACATGTAACGGCCTGGTTTGGTGCCACAGACTCTGCCAAAAGTACTCGGATCCTTTACTTAAGTAAAAGTACCACTGAGACAACGTAAAAGTAAAATAATATTTTCAGTATTAGCAGCAAAATGTACTTAAAGCATCAAAAGTAAAAGTTCTGAAGTAGTGTAAATAAGTGTGATTGTAAGGGACTTTACTTGAGTATTTGTACTTTTACACCACTACATTTATAGTTACATTTACTAGTTACAGATTTTACATGAAGTTAAAGAGGTTTCGTTGTAGTTCAGTTGTTTTCAGTCCACCAAAGAGACATTTTACCTCTAATCTTGTCAGATGTTTTCTTTTAAATGATGATCAGGCACGAAGAAGTACAATTTTTCAATATTTCACAACAAATCAATGAAAAACAAACAGGAAAACATGTTTCTGTATATTTGTGTAAATTCTTACCTTATTAATCGTCTCACAACCCCTCAGTAATAATCTATTTATATTGTATAAATTATATTATTTACAGGGGCCATTTTTCTACAGAAGGAGTATTTATATCTTTGATACTTCTGGTACATTCTGCTGATAATACGTCTGTACTCTTACAGAAGTAGGATTTTAAATGAAGGACTTTTCTCAGGTCTTTTTGTGTGTGTGTGTGTGTGTGGGTGAAATATTGAATTTGTTTTTATATACAAGTTATTAAATGAAACTAAAGTGGAGTGTTTAGAGGGGAAAGTCTATTTAAATTCCCTTTTTTTATCCCGGTAAAAGTTATTTTCAAGAGAGACCCACCCTAATGGCAGCACGAAAACACTGTAAGAGCAATAAATTAAAAATAATGAGTATGATTAATGATTAAATGGAAAAACACAATGTAAAATTGTATTTAATTACAGTACAGGACTAAATGTACTTAATCACTTTCCACCAAACAACAGCACCTGCTGGCCTGCGTGCCGCTCCACTGTTTGCTTAATAAACTCTGCTGGCTCTTTTTTCCCCCCTCCCTCGACGCTGAGATTAAAATACAAAGAGCTCAATTAATCCACGAGCCCCCCTGAAGCACCGCGGCCCTGTGCCCATGGCAGCCGACTAGCTATTTCCTGTTCCACCCTCCTGGCTTAACAGTGAACAGACCTCACTGTGGTGCGTCTGTGGCCGGCAGAGGAGAAATCACCTCTCTCCGGTCAGCAGCGTGGCTCAAAATCTGCACAGTGGCAGAATAACTCCAGTAAAGGGTGGATTTCAATTTTTTTTTAATAAGGGAGGCACTCTAGAGTGTGGTTTACCTGCATTGTTTTAAGGGCTTTTATTTTGGAGCGGTGCACGAGTTTCACTTATCTCAGGGAAAAGGAAACACCTCCTCCTCAACACGAGTGGTCCTCCTCCTCATCCTCCTCCTCGTCCTCTGAAGGATGACAGGGAGTGGATCATAGTGGAGGGCTGCTCTGTCTGCGGCAGTCAACATCACCTCCTCTGTCTCCCAACACTGAGTGACCAACACACTTACTGTGTCCAGATTATGGGATCTTATCCAAGTGCCGGGCTGACTGATCCAGTTCAAATCTGGATCTAACTTCCTTGTTTTGCCAGTGTTGTGAACGTCAACCTGTGCAGCTCTCATCCAGGACCGAGGTGAGTGATGTTCTGAATTGATCTTATGTTCATCTTTGACTCTTTATCTTTTACATTTTAAAACTTTTATTGGGCTCTTTGTTGGGGATATATTAGCTGCTTTACAAAATGTTTTAAAACCTTTCATTTTCATAAGGATCTGACCAAATATAGTGCAGTTGCTCTGCTGTCAGGCAATAAACAAGGCAACAAAGTAGTTTATTAGCAGGGCCTGCACCATGTTCTTTACAATACCACAGGCCATAAAAGTCTTTATAGGTGCAGCAGCTACAATGTGTCCAAAAGCATATATAAATCCACAAAGAAAACTGTATTAATTCCTCTATTTTTTATCCTTTATTAAACCCTCTTATGTTCACTTTCTACTGTGCTACGATAAAGTATTTCTGACAGCAACTCTGAGAGAGAGACAGCACACATTTAGTGAGAAGCAGGGTTCACTACTGTAAAATAACAAGTCTTATTTTCAATAGTTTCAGGTTTCATCTTTTGACTTAAATAGGATTATCTAAGCAGGAAGTGTGGGAGGGTTGTACGGGAGTGCATTTTATGGGGTTACATAAACAGCTACAGCTGCCGGGCTTTGTATGTGTATAGTTAAGTCGAGAAGTTATTGGACTTGTCTGGAAATGTTAGGTGTTAAATGTGTCTGCCCCGAGACTGCGGCTGCATAAAATGGACATTTGTCTCCCTCTGGTATTTGTGTTGTGCTTCCAGCTCAGACAAACTTCACCACAAAGTGCCCGCCGTGAAATCCCATGGAGCTCTGTATAAAAATATATATATAGTTTTATTCTTGCAAGTGAGAAAACAGGAGTATGCTTCTGCAAGGATTTAAAATTATTAGTGTTGTTTGCATAAATAGTCGACTGTCACTGTCTAATCTTATACTTTCTGTTTAGAATTTTAAGTCCTGACACTCTTTAAGAAGTTTACTGAAATTAGATCAAGAAATATCTCTGCCCATAAAACAGCAAATTCTTGTTTTTAAACTCAAGTTTTAAACAAATTAGATATAACATGTTAATTAGTTAACTTTAGAGGCTCTAGTAGGCAGATTCTGTTACCATTGGACAGAGCCAGGCTAGCTGTCCCCCCCTGTTTACAGTCTTTATGCTAAGCTAAGCTAACCACCTCCTGGCAGTAGCTTTGCATTTATCATGTGAGAGTGGTATCGATC